GGGTTCCCCCCGGGCTCCCGGGCCCTCAGCCCCGCCGCAGGAAACAGCCGCCGCGCCCGGCCGACTTCAAGCTGCAGGTGATCATCATCGGCTCGCGGGGCGTCGGGAAGACCAGCCTGATGGAGCGCTTCACAGACGACACCTTTTGCGAGGCTTGCAAGTCCACCGTAGGTACGGTGAGAGCAGCCGGGGAGGGAAGGAGGGAGGGAAGGTGGGTGGGTGGGTGGGTGGGGAGCGGGAAGCGAAGGAACTGGGGGGGGGATGGAGAAGAGAGAGAAAGAGATCCTTTCTGCACCAAATTTGGGGCGCGGGGGGGGACTCTTGGTTAATTTGTGTCGAGGGGGTCGTTTTATAGTGTGTGGTGTGTGGCTCCCTGGGACTTGGGTTTGGAACTCGCTGAGATTCCCATCATCTTGCTTTTCCTGTTTATGTTGATGATACCTCTCTAACGTCTCGGCTGCATTTGCAGCTTTGGATCTAAATAGGGATAACCTTTTTAGTTGGGGAGAGGAATGCTTATCCTGTTGCCTGCTTGAGATTCCAGTCTCGTTCCACCTGGTGGGCACCTCCGTATTATAGTAGGACTGGGAAGGAGAGTGTTACTGTTTGCCATTTAAGTGACTTAATGGATAGGGTTCTCAGTGTGGAAAGTTTTGGAATACCCATGATGATGGCTGGAAAACTCTTCTCTATTTTTTCTACAGTGGTGTTGGGCTGTAGCTCCCATCACCCTTAGTAACAAGGCTAGCCATTAGCGAGAGATGCTAGAAATTGAAGTCTGCCAACACCTGGAGCTTTTCCCATGCCTTGGTTTAGAAGCTGGTGTGAGGATGATTGTTACTGCCCAGGGTCTGGCCTTGATCTACAGCAGTTGAGAAATGTTCTCTTCACATGATATGAAAGCTACTCCGTTTGCACAGTACAGGGAGGACCTCTCCCACTTACTTATTTTCATGGTAAATACATGGTAAATGTATGTAGCTATAACAATTTAGAGGCAAATAATTCTTGCAGGAATTTGGAGTATTGATAATCATGTAGCTGTAGAAAGTTTGAAATTACTGTTTCACAAAATTGGTGCATTTAAACATACACTTAGGTTAGTATGAACATGCAGTGTAAGTTTGCATTCAAGCTAACAATTATATTAATGTTGGGCTTTGACTGTAATAAAGTAATATTACAGGTTATATTTTAGGCAAACAAGTTTGCTTGTGTGGTTGGACAGATGAAATATTACTGCATACTGCTATTCAGAAGATCAGAATTGTTGACCTTAATGTGCCTCAATCATTTCTTTTTACATCTCCTTGGCCAGTTTGTAGTTATTTATACAGTTCTGTTGGCCTTCGGTCTCTGTACATTGCTAATATAGATAAATTCTGTAAGTGTTTTTTCCTTGAAAAGTGTTTTTCTATTTATTTTGTGAAAAGTCAATCTGAGGTATTATCTTCACAGGCAAATAGTGACAACAAGAATATTGATTTGTTGGCAAAGCCCTTTGAATAGTCAAATTCTTATTGCCTGTGCAAATGCAATTTTAAGAAACACATGCCTCTCTCTATATTTTTAAATGGTCCACAAGATCTTCTTTAGGGCAAGGTGGGATTCTCCCAATGCAGTCCTGTGCTAATTTTCTCAGACGTTCCACTGCATTTAGTAAGGCTTATTTCCTGGTAAGCAGAGTTTGGATGACATCCTGAATACTTTAGTAAAAACTGTTGTACTTTTTTTTTTTAGCAATAACAGATTTGTTTCAGTGTAAGCTTTTGTGGATTACAGTCTGCTCCTTCAAAGACATGGAGTAAAATATCTGGGCCATAGGTTTATATTTCAAATGTGAATATAATTTTAATAGAACTGAATTTGGAAGTAGAGGTTTACACTCTCTTCCCAGCTCCCACATTGCAAGTGAAACGGTTCACAAATGTGAGGGATAGACAGGTCTTGATTAATTGATTATTATTTTTGGTGTGTAGTTGCACAGATATAATTTTGATTGAAATAGGAACTTGGTCTTGCACTGTGACTACAAATTATTTTGGTTGCAGGTCAGTGCTTGTTTTTTTGGGAGTGATCGGAAGTGACCCTTCTGTGTAGATATGTGTAGAACTGCATTGTTTGTTACTTATAATAGTAACTTAATGTCTGTCATATGTGTGCTGATTTTAGAAACTGGAAGCATGGATTGCAGAAGTGAGTGATGCATAATCATTCTTCATTATAGAAGAGGATGCTGGACTTCTGGTTTTTGCTTTTACATTTGTGTAATGTACATTTTTTCCTATCAGTAGCTACATTTCTAGAAATGAAAATATGAAACATACCTTTTTGAATCCAGAATAGAACATCATCATCTCTCTTCCACCTCTCTGGTTTGCCCAGTAATTGATAAACCCTATTTTTGTAAATGACTTTCCATGTGTATATACCCAGATATCTACATTTTGTGTGTATTGTAGGAAGCACCAGTGTAGAACTTGTGTTTTTTCAGTACACTCATATTGTGCCAGGTTGTTTGATTGTTTTGCTTAAACAATCAAACAACCTGATACAATATGTTTTGTTTAAATCCAACATGCATAGGCTAAGAACAAGGCATATAGTATCAAATTTGGGCCAAATTCAGATGACAGAGTTTATAAACTGTGAATGAGCACAGAGTTCATTATGTCTAAACTGAGGTACTCTGTCTTAATTCAACTATCAAAATAGTAATCATTGGTTGTTGTTTTGTTTTTTGTGTGATGTTAAACCAGAGGTCCTTTGCTTGGATTTAGTGGTGAGTCCAGATAGTGCAAGTCAGGATCTTCACATTAAAGCTGGTATGAAACAAGGGGACAGGGTAGCACTCAACTAACTGCATGATCTTTCACAAATTTATTATTTGTTACATTTGTATCTTATTTTTATTTCAAGGAGAATGAATATACCCCCTCTTCATTTTATTCTCATTATAAACCTTGGTGAGTTGGTTAGGCTGAGAGATACTGATTGTTCTAAGGTGATCATTATGTCCACATAAGGATTTGTACTTTGGACCTGCTAATTCTCCAAATATTTGAAGCATTTCTAAAGCATCTTTCAGTTTCATGGCACTTAACTAGAATGGTATACCACTTCATTTTGATCTTTATTTCATCTTTATTTCACTTTACTTCACTTTACATTCACCGCAGGGAGCCAGTGGGATATGGTGGATGACTAGGACTCAGGAAACTTGGTTTCAGTTCCCTTTTTGACCATGGAAACTCGCTGGATTGGCAGTGGTAACTGCTCACATATTTCCAAGATCCTTTTAGGGGTTTTGTCAGATATTACTTGGCTACACATGAAAAACAATAACTTGTCAGTTCAAGATCTCTATACCCGAAGGGATGTGGTGGCACTGTGGGCTAAACCGCAGAAGCCTGTGCTGCAGGGTCAGAAGACCAGCAGTCGTAAGATCGAATCCACGTGATGGAATGAGCTCCCATCGCTTTGTCCCAGCTCCTCGCCAGCCTAGCAGTTCGAAAGCATGCAAATGTGAGTAGATAAATAGGTACCACCTCGGTGGGCAGGTAAAACAGCACTCCCTAGTCACACTGGCTACGTGACAACGGAAACTGTCTTTGGACAAGCGCTGGCTCTATGGCTTGAAAAATGGGATGAGCACTGCCCCCTAGAGTCAGACATGACTGGACTAAAAATGTCAAAGGGAACCTTTACGTTTATACCCGATTGGCTCATATGACATATTCTAGGAGCTTTATGTAAATGTTTCATAGCCTGAAGAAGAGGATTACACTCTCAGGATGTTTTCAGACTAATGGCTAGAAGATACATCCAGCTATATAGACCTGGAGCCAGCCCCCTACTGCTGATTATGCCAGAGGAATACCAAAGGCAATGGTATAGGAGGTCTCCAAGAGATTCAGCAGAACTAGTAGGGACGCGGCAAGGACAATGGTTATGTAGTCTTCTGTGGTTGTGTAAAGTGGGCCATAGTGACAAACTGTGAATCTTTAACATGTAAAATTTATTCTATTGTTCTATTACTATTATTCTATTGTATGAAATAGCCAGAAGCAAGCCAAACGTTTAAAGTTTTGAAATATTTACAGTATATTTAGACAGTGGGCTTCACAGTTGTACTGTATGATTGGATAAGCACCAGTAATTTCCACAGGGGAAAATACATCCACACAGAGAGAAGACCTAGGTAGCTGTAGCTTACAGAAACTAAAAGTGTAATTTAAAATGGGAATAAAATTAACAGAACAATCAGATAAGAATTCAGCCAGTAAAATAAAATAGTAAAGCAAAGCCAGACATGATGTAAAACAAGTCTTGCAGTTATAATGGAAAAGACCACCTCCTGCCTTCTACAGGGCTGCTGCTCCAAAGGCTATATGGCTTGTCTTCATTGGGAAAATGGTGGCCTATAAATAAGACAAGAAAATATTGTTTTCTGCATCTTTCCTCAACATTCCAGGTGAGATGGCTTAACCTGGGAAAAAGTGGTTCCCCCCCCCAACTGCTCTGTTACTTTTATCAATAAGGAAGGATTTTAACCCATTTCCCATGACAGAAACCAATGATTTATCCCTAGGCCTCATGCTTGCTGTCTGCAGATGTTTTTAATCTGAGTTCAGAATCTCAATTATGTAGAAAGACATACAGTGAACAGTGAGACTGTGGGAGGTTGACAATAAACCCACCATCACCTGAACAGAGAGGCAATTAGTAGTTTGAGGCACCTTCCTTAAGTGTATTGTCTGTGTTAACATTATGGAAGGACTGAATAGCCATTTATTCCAAATTTAATAATGCAGGAGAACCTTTGATGTGTGAAAAGTGAACTAAGGAGTGGAACTAAATATAGCAAGTGGGTGTTTGTTGGGTAATAAGAGTAGAGATCTCCTATCAAGCTAAGTGGCAGAAACATTAGATGAAGCAAAACAAGTAAGCAGCTATTTTATTTTTCTCTTGAAACTTCACTTTAAGCTGTAGAAAATAATTATTTTGTTGTGTTTGAAGATGATTAGTGACATTCAGATGTGGGAAATGAAGAAAGGCTTTTTTATTATGGGAATGCAACAGTGTAACTAAGAATCTCACAGTGCATTGCTGTCATAGTTGTATCGGAAATTTCTTTAAAATATTGTTTCAAAAATGATTAAATTCTTTGA